TGGCTGTGTGGTATTCCATGGTATATAAGTCCCACAATTTTTTTTTTTTATCCAATACCATTGATCATCATCTCAGTTGATTCCATGTCTTTGCTGTTGTCAATAGCACAGCAATGAGCTTGCAAGTACAGGTGTCTTTTTGGCAGGAAGTTAATTTTCTTACAGATATATGATCGGTAATGAGATTGCTGGATCAAGTAAAAACTTCCTGTTTTAAATTAAAAAGTAAAATATTTGGGGATTTTTTCAATGGATGATGTAATATATTTTTACAAACAAAAAATAATTAAGCTATAGAAAGCAGAAGCCTACAGGCTGTGGTTGGTTTTATAGAACCATTTGATTAATAACAATTTCAAGCTACTACATAGCCCCTGGTAAGTTGCAGGAAGGGCCACAGCTCCCCGTTGTTAATCATTTTGCCAAAGGTGTGGTGTACGTTCTTACACCCCTACCTCCAATATGTTTCATAGTATATACAGTTGTTCCTCAATTTGCAGTGGGGTTACACTTTGATAAACCTATCATGTTGAAAGTATCATAAGGTGAAGATATGTTTTTAATTTTCAACTTATGATGGGTTTATCCAGATGTAACAGCATTATAAGTTGAGATGTGTAGTGAATGTTCATTGCTTTCACACCATCATAGAGTTGAAACATAGTAAGTTGAACCATCATAAGTCAGGAACTGTCTGTAACTAATTTTGTCCATATGGCATGATAATCTTATTTGGTACCATTTTATATATGATAGTAATTTATTTTAAAATATGGTAATAAAATAAATAGAAGAGTGATTTTCAATTTATCCAAATCAATTTTTCAGATTTGTCTTTGTTTAATGACTAATTTTCTACATAAGTTTTTTTTTTTTTTTTACAAATAAAGATGTTTTCATTTATTTCTCAGACAACTTTCAGCAGGTTCTGCTATCACAAATGTTCATATGGTATAACTCAGATATACTGTGGTTTTGGTTTTAGACCACAACAATAAAGCAAATATCACAATGAAGTCAGTCACACACAGTGTTTTTTGTTTGACAGTGCATATAAAAGTTATGTTTATGCTATACTGTAGTCTATTCAGCGTATTATAGCATTATGTCTTTAAAAGTATGCCTATCTAAATTTAAAAATGCTTTGTATGAAAGATTTCTCTATAACATGTGATGCTGTTTGATAATATTTTATCCACAGTAGAAATTCTTTCAAAATTGGAATCAATCCTCTTAAACCTTGCCACTGCTTTATCAACTGAGTTTATGTAATGTTCTAAATGTGATATTCTAACTCCTTTCTTGTCATTTCAACAGTGTCCATGGCGTTTTCACCAGGGGTAGATTCCATCTCAAGAAACCACGTTTTTTGCTTATCCATATGAAACTTCTTATCCTTTCAAATGAGATTGCAACAATGCAGTCACATCTTCAGGCTCCACTTATAATTCTAGCTCTCTCGCTATTTCCACATCTGTTGCTCCTTCCTCTGCTGAAGTCTTCATCCCCTCAAAGTCATTTATGAGGGTTGAAACAAATGTCTTCTAACCTTCTGTAAATGTTGATATTTTGGCCTTCTCCAGGAATCATAGATATTCTTAATGGCATCTAGGATGGCTCCTTTCCAAAAGGTTTTCAATTCACGTGTTCAAGATCTATCAGAGTAATCATTACCTACAGCAGTTATAGCTTTACAAGTCTTAAATAACAGGACTTGTAAATAGTAATAATTTTAACTTACAAGTCTTAAATAACACAAATCTAAAGAATAATTTAAAATAATAGGACCTGTAAATCAAAATTACTCCTTGATACATGAGTGCAGAACAGATCTCGTGTTAACAGGCATAGCACTCCATTAATCTTGTATATCTCCATTAGAGTTCTTGGGTGACTTGGTGCACTGTCAATGAACAGTAACATTTTGAAATGAATCCTTTTTCCTGAGCAATAGTTCTCAACAGTGGGCTTAAAATATTCAGTAACCCATGGTGTAAACAGATGTAAGGTCATGCAGGCTTTGTTTTTTCATTTAAAAAACACAGGCAGAGTTGATTTAACATAATTCTTAAGAGCCTTAGGATTTTCAGAATGCTCAACGAGCATTGGCTTCAACCTTAAATCACTGGTTGTATTAATCCTTAACAAGAAAGTCAGTCTGTCCTTTGAAGCTTTGAAGCCAGACCTTGACTTCTCTCTCCAGCTATGAAAGTCCTAAATGGTATCATCTTCCAATAGAAGGCTGTTTCCTCTACAGTGAATATCTGTTGTTTAGTGTAGCTACCTTTAACAATTATCTTAGCTAGATCTTCTGGGTAACTTGCTGAAGCTTCTACAATGGCACTCCCTGCTTCACCTTGCACTTTTATGTTGTGGAGATGGCTTCTTTCCTTAGACCTCATGAACCAACCCCTGCTAGCCTCCAACGTTCCTGCTGCAGCTTCCTCATCCCTCTAGGCCTTTATAGAATTGAAGAGGGTTGGGACCTTGCTCTGGATTAAGCTTTGGCTTAAGGAAATGTGGTGTTTGTTTGATCTTCCATCCAGACCACTCAAACTTTCTTCACATCAGCAATAAAGCTGTTTTTTTTTTTCATTCATGTATTCACTGAAATAACACTTTTAATTTCCTTCCAGAACCTTTCCTTTACATTCACAACTTGGCTGTTTGGTGCAAGAGGAGCTTTCAGCCTATGATGGTGATGGCATTTGGTATACCTTCCTCGCTAAGCTTAATCATTTCTAGCATTTGATTTGAAGTTAGAGACGTGCTACTGTTTTTTTTTTTTTCACCTGAACACTTAGATACCATTGCAGGGTTGTTAACTGGCTAATTTCAATATTGTTGTGTCTCAGGGAATAGGGAGGCACAAGGAGAAAAAGAGAGATGGAGGAACAGTAGTTCAGTGGAGCAATCAGGATAAAACATTGATTGATTAAGTTTGCTGTCTTATGTGGGCATGGTACATGGTGCCCCCAATTACAGTAGTAACAACAAAGATCACTGATAACAGATCACAATAACGGATATAGTAATCATGAAAAAGTCTCAGATTTCATGAAATATTGCCAAAATATGACACAGGAACACAAAGTAAACAATAGTGTTGGGAAAATGGCACCAATAGGCTGACTTGACCCAGGGTTGTCGTGCACCTTCAATTTGTAAAAAGTGCAATGTCCGCAAAGCACAATACAGCAAAGTGCAATAAAATGAGGTATTGCTGTACAAATGTTGTTTATGTCGACACTGGCTAGCTGAGGTTCTTCAAAACACAGGCAAGGATCCCCTAGTTATAAATATAGAAAATAACTTTGATTCATTTAAATGTTTCATGCATGGTATGTACACTTTTTGGCTACCGAGAAACTCCTTCCGGTAACTATTGTATTGTAACTATTTAGGAAAGTAGGGTATTGTAACTATTTGGAAAGAGGGAGGATTGCTTAGGAATAATATGTTCTTTTTGATATTTATTCACAACCTAGTTATATGATCTTAGAGCAAAATCTGCTCTATAGAAATAAGTATTTCTTAAAATGTGTTCTTAGAATATATTAATTATTTCTTATGTATAATCACTCTCTTTAACTTTTAAACTTCTTTTAGGCATATTAGCAACTTCACAATAGGAGACTCTGGTAACCATTTGTGTTTATCTTTTACAAAGGCAGTGATTAATTAGGTATCTTTAAAAGTCTTGTTATTTCTGCATTCATTTCACATCTTTATCCAGTGACTCAGTGAGTTATTCTAAGGGATCCTCAGTGTTTTCAAATGATATATGTTCCCCAGAACAAGAGCCCTAACATATTGCAGTATGACTTTTTTTCCTCTATAATGTTGGAAAAAGACCAAATTTGCTTAAAATATCTCAACTACTAAGAGATTGTCTTAATAGCTCATCAAATATCGACTTCTGATTGATAGCACTGTGGAAGTAATTAACTTCTTCAACTGTGAAGGTCATTGGTTCACGGGGGTTTATGGGCTAACCTAGTTAAGGGGCAGCTGCTTGCTCCTAGATCTTATAAAATTAATAATAATTAGTAGAAACCAAAGGGTTTTGAGTAGAACTTCAGGACACTGACAAATATTAATCATCTGTGTAAATATTGGTGACCTGTTTTCTCCCCAACTATGTGTGAAAATTAGTGGGTACTCTATATTAGACACATTAATGCTTCTATGTGGTTTTCTATGATGGATATTGATGGTGGAAAATCATGTCTCAAAAACCTCTTCAGGATATATGGCTATAATCTGTCAGCACTAGTCTTGGAAAAGTAGTGGAAATATTATTCCTTTATAACTCTAAGAAAAGGAAGAGTACACTGTAATTAGTTTATATTGACCCTTACAAGAAAGTTACATTCAAAATATTTTACAAACGTTGGATCTTAGACTCAATGAAATAAGTTCCATTTCAGTTCCTTTCCTTTATACTGGCCTTGCACATCTTTTTCACATCTCAATTTTTAATAGAGTATTTTTTTAAATTGCCATATATTCCTTTAGGTCTCAAATATTTTCTACTAGAGAAAAGACAAAGGAATAACCTCATAGAGATTTTCTGTGGATTCACTAACCCTGTCATAATCAGGATAGGAAAACATGATATTGAGGTACATTGTGTCAACCAAACACTTATGTGGATATAACCCAAACTTATTTAAATAAGACATCTAAACCCTTGAATCTACAGAATGCAGATGCTTGTAGATAGCTAAAGCCCATGAGATTAAAGTGGATTTTTCTAATGACCTACCCTGTGGATTCAATGGGCAAGCCTTCAATTCAAACTGAGTTTACAAATAAAATAACATTTAGAAAGAGTTGTTTTCCTGTTTTACCAAGTCAGCAAATTTAGAGACTTTAAAAATAAGTGTAATTTTTATCAATAATGGATAATTTATAAAATCTAGAATATATTTAATTTTAATATCATATATGTTTGCTTTAAATGACTTAAATATAGGCATTTATTACTATTACCATAATAAACTTTGTATGCAATTAGAAAATGCACTGTTGGGAAAAAAATTACAAGATTCAAATTGTAACTTCAGCATACATGCAACAGCATTGTGGTTAAATCACATAACATTATTTTAAAATAATAAGAAACTCCTATTTACTTTAACAAAAGAATATATACAAAATGCTTTATGTAATCCTAAAAGTTAAGTTTGGATTTTAGCCTAATTTGCAAAGCACAAAAATATACTGTATATTTTCATTGTTGTAAAGTTTGTTATCTCATTAAAATATATTAAGTTTAAATATTAACCCCCAAATATTTAATGAGTTGGGTGTAAAATATCTTGCACAAATGAAATTTGGCATCTCAACTTGAGAAATGACAAAAAAAAGGATATGATTTATCTTTTGAAGTATTCATTGTAAATAGCATATATGCATTTTATGAAATATTACCCATGTGATACAAATTCTCACAAATTTGTGAGAAACCCAAATTCTCACGAAACAATTCAATGAAGTTCATTTTTTTATAACAAATTGATATTTTCAAGATTGATAAAATCGAAGACCAAGAAGCCAAGCAAAGGACTGACATTTCTAACACAGCAAATAAAAATATGTAAAATAATTCTGTTTAAACAAGATGTTTTATAAACCAGTGTCCACAAAACATAAAAATACCTTATATCTGAAGAATTGCCATGATAAAAAAGATAATTTTCCAAATTTTTACCTTCATATTTTCCAACCATATGATTTCTTGGGATGAATTTTGAGAAAATGGAAATGTGCAGCTCCATCCAAAGCTGATGGACGTGTAATTGATATGATCATTCTGCAAGGTCGTTAGGTCCCATATGATAAAGGCTTACAATGGTTGTATCTTTTGACTCAACAGATATACACACTTACACACATAGCTATCTTTCTGTATAGAGAAATTCTTTTTTTTTTTTGAGACGGAGTTTCGCTCTTGTTACCCAGGCTGGAGTGCAATGGCGCCATCTCAGCTCACCGCAACCTCCGCCTCCTGGGTTCAGGCAATTCTCCTGCCTCAGCCTCCTGAGTAGCTGGGATTACAGTCACGCGCCACCGTGCCCAGCTAATTTTTTTGTATTTTTAGTAGAGACGGGGTTTCACCATGTTGACCAGGATGGTCTCGATCTCTTGACCTCGTGATCCACCCGCTTTGGCCTCCCAAAGTGCTGGGATTACAGGCTTGAGCCACCGTGCCTGGCCGAGAAATTCTTCATGACATCTTTTAACCTTTTTTGTAATAAGTTTCATTCTAAAATAACAGCAAAAGACTGAAATTATAAATGTAAGACGTAGCAAAGGAAATTTTACTTGCAAAAAAATGTAGCATGTTTTCTCCTTAAAATTTTGGGGGAAGTATATTCTGAGAAGATGTCAGAATCATAGGTTGATAAACATGGCTGATTACCTGTAAAATACAAACATAAACATTGATATCTGTTTATTTCATGTGTTGACCACATATATGTTTTCTCCTACTAATAATTCGACATTCATTAGGTCTGTAAGAGCTTCACTGGAGTTTAAAAAATCTTTTTTAACCTGTTCTTGTCATAATGTCATAGCTCATTAAATGATCAAATTCTTGAGATTACAGAGGCTATGTCACAACTCTAAGCCACAACCCTAATCCACAACTCTATAATCACTTTTATCTTTTTTTTTTAGACAGAGTCTCACTCTGTCACCCAGGCTGGAGTGCAGTGGCATGATCTTGGCTTACTATAGCCTCCACCTCCTGGGTTCAAGCAATTCTCCCATCTCAGCCTCCCAAGTATCTGGGATTCCAGGTGCATGCTACCATACCTGGCTAATTTTTGTATTTTTGGTTGAGATGGGTTTCACCATGCTGGGTCATCCCAGCACTTTGGGAGGCGAAGGAGGGTAGATCACCTGAGGTCAGGAGTTTGAGTCACTTTTATCTTTATATGTCGAGATGATCTTATACAAAATAAGATGTATTTGGCCACCACAGCTGTTCCTTCTGCCTAAAGTGTTCTTTTCCCGTGTTTGATCTGACTAATATCAGCATATTCCTTCTTTATGTCTTAACCTCATTGTTGCCTGTTTAAGAAGGCAGAGGCAGATTTTCCATGTGTCTGAATGCATATGGCAGTTCCCAGTATCCATGTGTGATGTGATGATGTAATCAACCTCTGTCTCCCCAAGGACACTCTCAGCTCCTTTTGGTCCTTGAGAGAGTCCCTGTCCTTGCTCAGCGTGTACCCCCTCTCTAGCATGGTGCTTTAGCGACCGAGAGCCTGCAATCTTTACTGGTTGAATGAATGAACCAGAATTCTTTAAAATTTAAACAGATCTAAAAATCTAAATGAAACCTCCTAAGTCACATATTCAAAATCTTATAGCTTGTGGCAAAGGGTAACCTCAAACCAAATTCCTGATGCTACCTCAGTGCCACCACACAGGCTGATGCCCAGAAGTCTTGCACATTAGACCTGACATGCTCCTGGTGCTCGTTGGCTGACAGAAGGGGCCCTTCTGCTCCAGGCTTGGAATAAGAATCCAGAACCTTTTTTTTTTTTTTTAATGAAAAGTCTCAAGTCATAACGGAGTTCCAGTAATTCAGGAAAAGATTAATCTAGATCAATAGAAGCCGCACAGTGTCTTTTAGGCTTTCTTTACAGAAACATCAATGGTTTTGATTTGAATATAAAAACAGGGTTCTGGAACCTTGTCTTTATCAATTCTGTCAATTTGCAAGGAAACTGTTTGGTACGACTTTGAAACTAGTTTGAGGGTTATGGGTACTAGGTGCTCAATTTATATTTGGAGAATCTTATTCTACTTCAATAGCTTCACATACTACTGTAGCCAAGAACTAAAGCAAGCAAGACTTTTAGACCTGGTCAAAATAGATCCTTTAAAAAAAATTATTATACTTTAAGTTCTGGGGTACATGTGCAAAATGTGCAGGTTTGTTACATAGGTATACACATGCCATGGTGGTTTGTTGCATCCATCACCCTGTCATCTACATTAGGTATTTCTTCTAACACTATCCCTCCCATGTCCCCCCACCCCCCTGCTATACCTCCCCTAGCCCCGGCCCCCTGATAGGCCCTGGTGTGTGATGTTCCCCTCCCCGTGTCCATGTGTTCTCATTGTTCAACATCCACTTATGAGTGAGAACATGCGGTGTTTAGTTTTCTGTTCTTGTGACAGTTTGCTGAGAATGATGGTTTCCAGCTTCATCCATGTCCCTGCCAAGGATGTGAACCCATTATTTTTTTATGGCTGCATAGTATTCCATGGTGTATATGTGCCATATATTCTTTATTTGGTCTATATATTCTTTTAATGTAATTCCAAAGCTGATATTTAAAAGTCTTTTTGAACATTGAGACTTTAAAGAGCCTTTGTCCAAATACCCTACAATTTGGACTGAAAATAATATAATACAAATAAATAAAAGTAATCAAATAAAGTATGTCTGTTGGTAATCACCAACACAGTAAGATGTTTTAAATATTTTTATGTGTTAGTGCCTTAATATCAATGAAAACATAGTGAATAGTTGAGGAATGTTCAGAAAACATTGCAGGAGAGGTTGAGAATCAATATTAAAATATTTTGGATAAATTTTTAGAAGTGAGTGTGAAGGCAAATGCACAGCATCAAAGGAAAAAATCCAGTTCAAATAAATAAAAAGACCAAAGAAAACCACCTTTAAATTCAATATCCTCTTCCCCTATGATTCAAATGTTGGTCATTTTAGTACATGAACATATTTTTCTCACACTAGCCTATGCAGTAAAAGATTAGGTCAGATCAACAGGCAATTTTCATGGCTCAGCATTTCCCTTTTCATATTCAAAATCTTTGAATGCTGTTGATTAAATTTGCATCCCAAGGTAAATGGTGAACTCGTGAAACACAAGGCAAATACACTGCACTCCTTGTTACCACAGGTGGCTCGCTGCTCACACAGGCACTGTGGTTGTGTTGCTCAGCTCTGCAGCAGGGCAAAGGATCAAGAGAGCCACAAACCTTTCAAACATCATGTTTGATTTTTATAAAGTCTTCAAGTTTCCCTCATTTCTAGTCATTAGTGCACAAGTGCTCATGTATATGTCCTCTCCCTGCTGCTTCAGGTAGGAAACAGCCATTTAAGAAATGCTCATTGCCTCTTTATCGTAAGCAAACATGTCACCATGTTCATGACTCTTGGGCTAAGTATTCTCTCTAGTTGTAACATGGGAGGAGCTTCTTGATGCTGCTGGTAGTTTGTCCTTTCATTTGGGAGAACTGGATTTTCTCTTGTATTTACCCTACCAAAGTGAATGAAGATGAATAACTGCTACTCCTACTAATATTAGTAGTAATAGCTATCTGTACATTTCCACTCATGGGTCTTGAGTGATGTTAAAGAAGGGCTTTGCTGTGACAATGAGCTTTCTGTTTCTCCTACTCTATAAAGCAAAGAAGAGTTCCCAGTTAGAACCAAGAGGATGGAGATCATGTTCTTCAGAGCAGAAAAAATGTGCACCCAATATTTTAGGAAACTGTTCCTGGAATAAAGCTGGCTTTGAAGCCCCAGGAGTCTTCATGTTTGGTCTATTTAGGTAACCTCCTAACATGTAGCCTCCACCACACATGTCCACCAACTTTCCATGCACTGATGGACAGTCTTTAATGTGACGTCATAGAGGGTAGATCAGCTCCATATAAAAACAAAATTCAAAATTTTTTCATCTAGAAAACTTTCTCAGTATCAATGGGTCTACTCTCTTCTAACATAATGTACTAAATACGCACATTTATTAGTAATTTTGCCTCATGAAGCTTTTATAAAAACATAAATTGCCAAAGAAAAAGCATTTTGAGACCAAAAACATTTTGAGAAACATAAGTTTCTCCTTCTGCCCTATTTTGTAAAGACTTTTCCTCCTTTATGTTTTCCATTAATATTCTACATTATGGTACACAAACATTAGTGTGGATCAGAATTTCTAAGTTAATATACATTTTAAAGCCATTAGAAAAAGCACAGACTGTGTGGTTGCTCTTTTTATGAGAATGGAGATTGAAGGCAGCTGTTTGCAAAAGCACTAATGTACTTCACACAATGATGTAATATCTAATGTATATAACCTTTTAAAACCTGGTAATATAGAAGACATTTAGATTTACTGTGGAAATATATCTCAATTTTATTTCCTGCAAAAAAAGAATACAGGGAGGCATGTGGAGTTATGTTTCTCAATTTGCTATCTAAATGCCTTGGCCCATAAATAAACTCACCCACCAACCAGCATACGGATGAATTTTGCAGTCGCCCTCTCAGTATAATAAAAAATATAAGAAAATATTCAAGATCATTAAGGTCATAAATAGTGTCCCTTTAGACTAACCAAATTGAGGATAAATATTCTGCTCAAGTGGGGAGGACTAACTAAAGTCTGTGTATTTTGCTCTCACAGCCATCCCTTCTATACGTATTAATTGAGCTTCTATTTTAAAGCTTTGGAAGACAAAGGAGACTAAGCCACAGTTTATTATCTTAGAACTTTTCATGTAAGGAGGAAGAACTCAAGCATGCCGATACAAGACATGTTCATTTCCTACTGATGTTGTAGCAAATTACCACAAACTTAATGGCCTAAAGCAACACAATTGTATTGTCTTAAAGTTGTGGAAATCAGAAATACATTATAGATGGGTCGGCAGGTCTGTGTTCCTTCTGGAGGCTCTAAGGAACTATTAATTTCCTTGCCATATCCAGCTTCTACAGTTTACCTCCATTCCTTTGCTCAGGGTCTCTTTCTCTGTCTTCAAAATCAGCAGCATATCATCTTTCATCTCCGTTTCTGTTGTCACCTCTCATTCCCTGACTCTAACTCTCCTGCCTCCCTCTTCTGCTGATCCTTGTGGTTACACCAGGCCCATCCAGGTCTGCCAGGAAATCCCCTCATTTCACCATCCTTACCTTAATCACATCTGGAAAGTCCCTTTTGCCATGTGAGTAATGTAACACAAGGAAAACTTTTGGTGGGGGAAGGAGTATTCTGCCTAGGACATAAGATAAGCTGTCCCAAAATGCTAAAGCACAGACAGAAATGCATATAGAAATATCTGAAGGTGGGAGATGGATCGGAAAAGAGGGATGAGAGAAGCTAGTGCTAAGAGAGGTGGTACCCTGAAACATTTAGCACTCTTTCAATGTTTAGAGCTTGCTAGGGGCATATGAAGAGAAATCAGTAGACATCACCAATGGAGGGAACTATACTACCCAAAACAAAGAGATGAAAGATTCAGGTCATGTCCAAGACATAGTGTGTTGTGAAGGTGTTGGACAGGAGACTGAGTTCCTCAGATCCTTCTTTTGGGAAGATAATGTTGGCAGTGATACAGTTACGTGGTATGTAATCATCTGGATGGGGCATATGG